ACCAGAAAGTCCCTATGTCTTTGCCCTATATTTTTCTGGTTAGTAACCGACAGGAATTTTAATACATCAATTTGGCCTAATGAAAAGACCCTAAGATTTTTATAAGTTAATTATTTTGACCTGTGACACTGCTGAGCTAAATATATTTGCTTTTAGCTTTGATCAGAAAATCCAATTTAGCTGTCTCTGTGAAAAGCACATTTCTCATGAAATGAATAACATCTACTTAAAATATATAGTAGCAAACATCCCACAATTAAAGCATAAAATTCCAGGTATTTTCTTTAAAATTAACATGTAAAACAATCTAGTTACACAAATTGCACTAATAAGAACTTGTGAAGTTCCCTGTACTTGTAAAACACAAACAAACAAACAAAAACCTCACCGGCCTTGAGTCTGATCTGACTCATGGTGACCCCTCCTTGGGTGCTCGAGGCAGTATCATTACGGAAGTAGATTGCCCAATCTTCCTTCTGAGGAGTGGCTTGTGGGTTTGAACTGCCAGCTTTCTGGTTAGCAGTCAAATGCCTAAATTAAGACCACTCTTCTAAAGGTTGATAGTAAATGATGCTTTACTCATACTGGGAGAAGAACAATGCTAATGTCACAGAATCCCAGCCTACAGAAATGGACATGTGATCCTTGGCCCAAAACAAACAAACAAACAAACAAATAAATAACAACAGCATTTGAAGTATTTGGATATTTTGATTCCTTGAATTTTTCAGAACTTGCTACAACAAAAAATATATGTATAAGGTAAAGGATACAGAAAACCACTTTCTGTCTAGATAGGACAGGATTTATTATCCACTATTTGAACTGGCAAACTCCCTCCATTTGTTTCTGTAAGATACCTACTGAAGCACAGACATTACCTAATGGATAAACACCACAAGGCCTCCTAGGACTCATGCTAGCAAGTCAAAAATCATCATCTGGTTGACAGTCAAGCCACAGAGAAGCAGGTCTGAAGGGGAAATGTCCGGATGGCCCAGATGTGACCACTGAGAATGGTGTCTAGCCTGGTCTTTTTCCCTCAACAACCTCTCTTTTTATGTAATCCAATAATCACACCAACTCCAGTGGCTAGAATGAATATTGGCTACCTTCCCCAATCACAGGACATAAGCTCTGAAGGAGACTACTGATCATCTGCAAAGGCTAGGGTCTTACATTATAAGCACTGTTCTCTCTCTGCTGGGACCTTCTTCTATTTGTAGTAGAGGAACAATGACAAGATCACAGAAAATGTCTGAAGGATGGCAAGGATAAGAGTTATTGCCAAGAGCAAGCAAGGGTGGCAGTGGGAATCCAGAGAGGGCAGGTGGGAAGAGGCTGGTTAGGATGTTTGGAATGCTTAGTTAAGGACCAGTCTAGGGTCACTAATAGAAGACTGAACTAAGTATCCAAATAGAGAATGAACTAAGAAACCAGAGAAGAAAGAATTCTCATCTTCTTTCCCTTTACTCAAGGTTACACAGCTGGGTAGGTAATGGGAAAAAAGGAGAGACCAATGAAGTAATGGTTACTTGGATATCAGAAAGCTAGATCTAGAATGAAGAAGAGATTACAACATGAGAGAGAGAGAGAAGAGATGCCAGAAACAAACAACCTGTTCTCAAAAGTATTTTTGCAAATTGGTTGTTTGGAACAGAGATGATGCAATGTAACTGAGTATTCAATCTGGTTCACTGAGTCTATTTTACACATAGCAATCTACAGTGCTTGTGTGGGTAAGGAAACCCAGAGTTCCTAAAGGAACAATGTGGCTGGAAGGTTTTGCCTTTTCTGGGTCAGAAAGGAGAACAAATCCTGTGCCCACACTGTCTTGTTCACTCAGCATCTTGAATCAGTGGGTTTACTATGTCTTTCACCAACTTCAGGAAGTTTTTAGCCATTCTTTTTTTTTTTTTTTGAGTAGTTTTTCAGCTCTGCCTTCTCCCTCTGATGACACAAATATTCAATTTTTTTCCCCCCTATAGTCCCACAGGTTCCCAAGGCTCTGTTTCCTTCTTTTCAGTTTATTTTCTTTCTGTTGGGTAAGTTCTATTAACATCTTCAAACTCACTGATTCTTTCCTCTGTTCTTCTTTGTTGTTGAGTCCATCCACTGAGGGTTTTTTCTTTTCTTTTTTAAATTTCACTTACTGTGTATTTTAGTTCTAAAATTTCCATTTGGTTTTTATTTAAATCTTCTATTTCTTTGTTGAGACTATTTTTGCATATGTTTCAAATGTGTTTCTAAAAGCTCATTTAGGCATTTTTGTAAGGGCTGCATTAAAATTTTTGTCAGATAATTATAACATCTCTTTTATTTTGGTGTTGGCATAAATTGACTATCTTTTTTCATTCAAGTTGAAATTTTCTAGGTTCTTGGTATGACAAGTAGTTTTCAAGTGAAATTTGAACATTTTGGGCATTATGATATGAGACTCTGGATGTTGTTTAAACCTTCTGTTTTAGTTGGCTTTTTCTGACACTACTACAGAAAGGCAAGGGGCAAGTAACTCTAACTCTTCATTTGATCAACAACTGAGAACCAGAGAGGGGAAAAGACTAAATTGAGGTCACAGAGTAAATCTGGGGCAGAATCAAAATGAAAATTGAGAGTTTCTTATTTCCGTCAGTGCTATTTTCACTTACCAGGCCATTTCCTTCTTATCTGCAAGATGAGGGGAGGATGAGAGATTAGGCCAGATGGTCTTTAAGAGCTGTCTGGCAATTTCTATGACTGTCCTTAGCCTTGCTTCTGCTCTCCCTAGCTAACTTCTTCTACCACTATGCTAAGACTCTAATAAAGAACAGGGATTGGGGAAAAGAGCAGAGAACGGGGGGAAAAAAACACTACAATATAGGAGATATATTGAGCCTAGTTAATTGTGATGCCCAATTCTTGCTATAAATTTGAAAAAGTACCTTTAGACAATCTATAATGAGTTCTGATGGTGTAGTATTTAAGGCATTTGGCTGCTAACCAAAAAGTTAGTGGTTTGAACTTACCAGCCACTCTGCAGAGGAAAGATGGGTGAGTCTGCTTCTGTAAAGCACCCAACAGGTATCACTATAAGTTGGAATTGACTTGATGGCAGTAAGTATGGTTTGGTTTTGTGAGACAATCTTTAGCTGTACAACCATGCAGGCAGAGTTCTGACTTGTTTTTGAACTCACTGTCTACATGATCTTAATACATTCTCAAAACAGATGCAGTTGTAGTAAATTACATAGTATGGCTTTTCTACCCATGGTCTTTGTGAACTCCATGGTAGAATTTGGCATGAGCAACTAAGTAGCTCCTGACTGTTAAAGTTATCCACCTGGGGTATTTATGTTGCAAGCAGCACAAAGCAATTTTCTGGGAAGTTTGTTCTCTCTTAGGTATGTGGAATTCTTGTGTTGGGATTGGTTGGTTTTACCACTCTGCTGGGCTTAAAGTGAGCCCTTGTAGAGGCAGAGAGGAGGAATATTTCTCACTGCTGGCTGAGAGTCCAACTCGTTACTGAAAGAGAGATGCCCAGCTGAGAGATGGCAGCAGTGGAACCAAGAGGCAGGAGACAGAGAAGCAGACTTATCTGGCCCACAGAGGCAGTGGCCAGACTGAAAGTCCAAGGGCCACAGAGGCATGTCACAGCAGAGGGGAGACTGTCCTGACCAAGGAACTGAGTCCTGAGAGCATTCCTGAATTTGAGTTGTAGCCTGTTGCTTCCCTAATAAACCCCATAATCCGTGAGTGGTGTCTGTGAGTTCTGTGTGGCCACTGCGATGAACTGTCAAGCCCAGCAGAGAGGCAGTAAGTGCCGTGGGAGGGACGGTTGGTGTCAGGGTTGGTGAAAAGGCTGAAAGGAGGCAGCATGTCTGGCCTTGCAGGAATAGGCCTTGGGCTGTTGATAGTGATTCTGTCCTCCTTATGTGGGGTTAGAGGAGGTCAGAAGATGAGGCCTCCTTGCCCTTTTAGCGACAGGTGAGCATGGCAAATTTTATTCAGGTGTCCTGTCTTTATCATTAACTGGGACAAAAAGACAGAAGCAGCAGTTTATGATGAAAGACTACCTGGGTTTGAACATTGTTTACTAGCTATGTGACTTTGGGCACATCATGAAACTTCTCTGTACCTTATATGTTAAATAGGGACAGTAACAATATCTAAACCTCATTAATTCTTCTGAGGACCATGGGTAAAAGCTTAGAACAGTGACAGGTTTGAACTGTGCATCACTAAATATTAGCTGTTGCAGGAAATGTTACTGTTATCATTTATTGGAGGCCTGTTATAAATTAAATGCATATATCATTGCATTTAATCATCAGAACAGTCTTTTGAAATATGGGTTATTATCATTCTCATTGCATAGATTAAGAAACTCAGGTTATCTTATTATAGAATCATTTATAAATATAATATGAAAGTAGTATCATCTAAAAAGATAGATTACATTATAAAATAATGTTTGAAGCCAAAAAGTAAAGTAGCAAAAACATTCCTGACACATTCAGAAAACATAAGCAACAAAGCACCCATTATTATAATCCATTACCATGATGGTTATGTAATACTTCTATAATTTAAATTTCAAAAAAATATTTAAAGGAGGAAACTGAAGCACAATTGTTCATTCCATGGGAATATTGGGCCTAGTTTTCTTGGACTATCTTTTGCAAAGTTCTTCCATTGAACTAACAGGACACATCCTGGATTCCTGTAAAGGCCCCAGTGAAGAAATATACTATGTACAGGAGAATTCTTTCTCTCTATCCTGCAGCCAGAATGGAGAATTAGAAGCATAAGGCAAAATTAAAGCTTAATGGAGAGTTTTCTACCTTTTTATCATACAAAACTCCACTCATTATATTTTAATTTTATTCATTTCTTGTTTTGAACATTTTTTTTTGGGGGGGGACGACAAATAATTCCTTGTGTGATATTCATCCACTCTCTAAGGGTATTCTCAAAACACCTTCTGATATGAGAAAAAACATGTAATTTTTAAATATGCTTACCAAGGCAGAATGGATCCCCTAGATTCATGCACAAACACTCATTTGGGATGTTTTTCATTTGAAAGCACATTCTGATTAGCCATAACTTGATTCTCTCAGGCAGTGGTTTCAGTAATAAGTAGCCAATGACATATAAAACATATCTAAACCAGCACAGAAGTGGGGTGGCAATCCTGCCATTGGGTGACTGTGACATTCGTTCAATTGTTGGAAAGAGCATCATGGAGCGTATTACCTATAATAAAGAAAAACACTTTGAGGTGTGGCTTTCTTAAGGTAGTCTATTACTTTATAGTTCCTCCTATGTAGTACTGATCTATGGCTGGATTTTAGAACAAGACTAGAGATCTGTTTAGACAGAGTACTCTCATCTACTGTACTCTCAGGCCATAGCCCATCTGGGTAGGATATAAGGATGACCCTGACTTACTGAGCAGTGAGGGCTAATTTTCAAGGTAAGGAAGAATCAGATTCTAGCTAATTCCTGGCCACCTGTGATAACAATTCACAATCCCTTTGAAGGATTGCTAAGTGTAGGAATTAATATACACGTTTAGTCAAATGGCTGGATCAACTTGACTAATGATGATACTACAAGACAGTAGAGCCTCATCCAAGTAGCCAGTTGCTGTCAAGTCAATTCTGACTCCTGGAGAGCCCATGTGCGTCAGCATAGAACTGTGTTCCACAGGGTTTCCAATGGTTGGTTTTCCAAAAGTAGATCACCCAGCCTTTCTTTTGAAGCTCCAACCTGGGCTTAGTTTTCTTGGGCTATTTTTTACAAAGTTCTCCCACTGAACTAGCAGGATACATCCTGGATTCCTGTAAAGGCCCCTGTGAAGAAATATACTATGTACAGTTTTCAGTTACTAGCCAAGCATGGTAACCACTTATACCATATTAGGGACTCCATTTCTATTCAATATTTATTTTATTGATTACATTTGAAGTATTTAACCTTTTAAAAGCTCTTCTATCCTTTAATTATACCAGCCCACAATAATCTTTAACAAGATCCAATAAATTTCTAACAGTAAGATTTTGACATTAATAAAGTGCAGCCCAGGGACAGGAAAAGCTGGAAATCTGTACTTACCTGGGAAAATATTTAAAGACAAAAATATTATTTCAATTAATCAGAATATTATTAAGTATATTTTAATAATACTTTAGGCAAAAGAGTGTCATTAAAATCATTTTAAATTTACCATATTAATATTTTTAAAATTAACATACAGAAAGAATTTCTGTGGGGATCAGGAAAGACCAATTTAGATCCAACTTCTGTTAGTAACAGTAACATGAATGGATATATCAAATATTAACAGATTGTAAAACAAGACAGGAAAATGGACAGAATGACTTTACTTTTTTTAAAAACCTCATTTAAATTAAATATAACATACATACAGAAAAGCACATAAAACATAAATACTACAATTTAACAAATAATTATAACATGAACAGCTATGTGGGTCAGGAAACAAAACAGTGCCAGAAGCCCTGCACACACATCTTTCCAATCACAACTTCTGCTCACATCTTGGATAACTTCTATCCTGAGTGACTTATTTGCTTTACATTGACAATTCACATCTCTTAATATTTATTTTTGCCTATTAATGAGCCAGATATAAATGGAATCACACAGTATGCTTTTGTGTTTTACTCCTTTTCACTCAACCTAATGTAGCTTTCCATTGTATGAACATTGCACAATTTTACCTATTTTACCAAGATTTGGGCTGTTTTTAGTTCAGGAATACTATGATTAAGCTGCTTAGAAATATTTTTGTACATGTCTCTTGGTTCAGGTGTGCATATACCTCTGTTGGATAGATCACCTCAAAGGATAAATACTAGGTGATAGGTTAGGATATGAATTGATTTTTACCCCCCCCCCCCAAAATATGTGTTGGAATCATAACCCCTATACCGGTGGGTGTAATCGCCTTTGGGAATAAGATTTTCTTTGTTATGTTAATGAGGACATTATCAGTGTGCTTGTGTTTCTTAAACCTAATCACTTTTAAATTATAAATACAGCAGATTACACACAGAAACAAGCACAAATGGAGGAAAGATAGATGCCCTGTGGAGATCGCCAAGGAACTGAGGAATGTGGGTGGTGGCTAGAGGAACTGAGACAAGGATCTTCCCCTGAAGTGGGCAGAAAGAGAGACTTCCCTTAGAGTTGGTTCCCTGAATTCAGATTTACAGTATCCTAAACTGTGAGAAAATACATTTCTGTTCTTTAAAATCACCCACTTATGTTATTTCTGTTATAACAGCACTAGATAATTCAGACAAGTAGCCATATGTTCAGCTTTAGTAGATGATGACAAATAGTACTAACTTACACTCTTACCAGCAACATATTCAAGTTCATGTTATTATATATCCTTACCACACTTGATTCTGGCAAACTGTTAAATTTTGGGCAGTCTTGTATAATGGAATCTCTATGGCTTTATAAATGTGTTCACTGATGCCTAATTAGGTTGATTCTTTTATATGCTTATTGGACATCTTCTATATCCTGAGGTACTTACTTAACTCTTACGTATTTTTCTATTAGGTTGACTGTCTTTTTTTCTCACCGATTCGTAGAAGTTGTTATATATTCTAGATATCAGTTTTTGGTTGAGCTGCAGTCTATGGTTTGCCTATTTATCTCTTATTCTTATTATATTTTTCTTAGTAAAGATATACTCTTAAGTTTGGTGAAGTCACATTTAAGTATTTTCTTTTCATTGCTTTCTGTGTCTTAGATTAAGAACTTCCTCTCTAGCCCCAAATCATGAAGATGTATTTTTTTTTCATTCAAAATGCTTTCTTATAAATTAGAAACATACCTCTTATCTACTCTACAATTTGGATTTAAGTGTTCAGTTGTGTTTAACTTCAGTTATGAATCTGTGCCTTAGATTTCAGATATCACTGATTTGCTTTACCATTTCTCTTGTGTATTTTTCCTCCTTCTGGATGAAATAAGTGCATTTCTGCTAGAAGACCCCGAGAGTAAAGGTGGGTTTTTGTGGACTCAGTCTCTTTCCCATCTTCGCTTTTCATATTACTTCTTCATAATAGCCTGTTTAATAGTATCACCCAAATGTCCAGTTGATCAGCCACCAGCTATAATTTTGTCTTCATGCCTCTTTTACTACAGGGATTTGAGAGTGAAAACTGTGAAGGACTTTTTTTTCATTCTAGTCATGATACTCTCCTTTTCCCTTGGTCTTATCTGTCAGCTAAATGCTCAGCTATTGCTCCCAACAACAGTTAAGATACTTCAGCTGTTATTTCTCTTTTTGTCATGGTATAATTTGACCTCCATTGTTCCTCCTTTGCTATGTAAGTAAGAATGTATTTCTCCTGGCACACGTTTTGCCCAGCTGAGTCAAAGATATTTTCCAGGAACAAGGACCACATCCTTCAAATGATTTTAAAACTGCTGGATTGGCAACATTGCTTTTCAAGTGAACCCAGCATTTCTGTCAGAATGCAGAAGGAAGATTCTGACACTGGCATCTTCTCAGGTACAAAACAGAGGAGGAGATGCTGGATGGACTGTGCTTAAAAAAAAAAAAAGGCCTTATGTATGAGGCATTCACAGGTTTTTATAATGCAGATCACTGTAGGCCCCAAAATGTCAGGGATGATCCTGAATCCTCAAATCAAAGCCAGCTGCCTCCATGACAGTGAGTTTGTGCAAAGGTTATGAAATCTCTGTGGAGTATGAGTGGACAAGACAATTAAAGAATCATCTTCTCCAGATGCCATTTTAAGAGAGAACTCCAACTCAAAGCATTCAAACAGATCAGGAATGATATTGGCTCTGGGATCCCAGGACTGATATTTAGTCATCTTCCTTTTCCTCTTCTAGCATAGCACAGGGATACATCATTCCTATTCAGTAGTAATCACTATGATGTGGAGGCAGAGTATACAGCACAAGCCTCATAATTATAGCTATCTTCAGCTGCAGGAAGCATGAACAATGAACCTAACAGCTCTCTGATGTCTCCAGGGCTTTGTAACAGAAGTCTCCCTATTCTTACAGGTGATGGACAGTGTGTATACCACTACTTCGGTTTTGCCTTTTTGGCCAAAGACATTCTTCAAAACTGCTGCCAATGCGAGTCTTTCAAAAGTTGGAATTAGAAATACCATTTGACCCAGCCATCCCATTACTAGGTATATACC